GATTATGTGAAACTATTAAAAATCAGTAAAACAATTTCTTGTCAAATAGTAGAAATCGGGAATAGGGCAAACAAATAACAGTTTGATTTCCTGACTCGGTCAACATTTCGATTCATTTAAATCTTTCTCAGTATTATACCTATATACAGCTTGTTACAAATTCGGTAAGAGATACGAACTAGCTTAAATGGGGGCAAAATTGTGTATTCAGGAGGTCAACATTATGCTTCTAAAGAATCAAAGTTAACATGATTAGTTTTCGAAATATTTGAAAACACTGAAATTTTGGAAATCCGTTTTTGTTTCATTTCAGTCTTGTTTGAGGTGATATTTAAAAATGAAGAACACATTCTCATGGCAAATTTTCGCCCTTTATCGAATGGCATAATCAATTTTTATATATAACGTTTCGTCTTTCCAGTACCATCATCTACTTAATTCTTTTAAATACGGCCCTGGAAATTTTATTACATTTTATGCAAGCTTTCATGACCCCCAATACGGTACTGCCCCAGACCGAACCAAATTCATCTCCAATGTATTCTCCAATTTTTTTTAGATTTCTATATTTTTTATTGAAATATTAAGTATCGTTAGACCCTGTGAAATCCACCTAATTATTTAAACTGTTACCATCACGCATTACAATATCAAATCAAATCAAATCAATTTTTATTCGTCCAATTGATCATACAATGGTATAGAATATGTCAAAAAAAATTTACAGACATTTTTTAAAAAGAAATATACAATAAAACTACACACAAAAAGATATGTACAAAACAACACTCTAAAATTCCAAATACTCCCTAACCGAATAGAAGCTGTTGTCCAAAAGAAAATTCCTTACAGCACACATATATCTACTAAAACTTGTGATTTTATACAAGTTTCTAATTTATTATAAAAACGTTATTAGAGTTTCAATCCCGTACCATTGTTATTTCTAGGTTTCTCGAGTACCTACTCAAAACTTAATTTCACAGGGTCTAATGACACTTAGAGTACACTCATTCAATATAGAAATATAAATAAAATAATTACATAAATTTGGAACGAATTCATTGAAGATTAATTTTTCGAGACAAAACGTCTGAGTCTGAAGAATCTTGGGGATCATGAAGGCTTGCAAAAAATGTATTCAAATTTATAGGGCAGTATTTAAAAAAATGAAATTGATGATGGATACATTATTTTAAAGCTAACTTTATTGAAAAAAAAAATCATTTTTCGGAAAAATGTTATGAAGTATGAACGAAAATTATTATTGCTAACAGGCAAGAAGAAGAAAATTAGGTAATACTTTCTTAGAGATCACTCAGAAAAAAAAACAAAATGAGGAAATTACTTTTAGGAATAGCCTAATATTGAAAAAATCTTTTTCCAATAATATTATGTTCTGCTCCTGCTTTTTTCCCTGTATGTTTTTCTTTATTTCTTATGATTTATTATGTCATTTAAAATCATTTGTCACATTTGATCAAAATTTGAATAAAAATCTTCTCCATAATTTATCAAAATAAATTATCTGAAAATCCAGCATGTCTGTAATTGGAATATAAAATCGACGATCCAGTTGTAAAATTTTCGACAGTGGGTAACTTTCAAATAAAGGCATTGCATGTACATAAGTCAATGGTTTGATTTTATAAACTTAGTTTTAGTATAGACAAAGGTATGATTGTCTATACAGCAATTAATTCCTTACTGACTTTTAGCCGTATCTCACTTGCTATAAGAGATAGGCTCCTGCACAGCCTCCTGTAATTGTAGGAGGCTGTGGCTCCTGCCATTAGAGACCGACCGATTAATCGGCTTCGGCCATATTCGGCCATTATTTAAACCTTCGGCTAAGAATCGGCTTCGGCTAAAATTAAGCCAAACTTTTCGCCGAAGCCGAAGGTACCGTTCGGGGCGCCCGCCGCTGGACATAACAAATCTAATCAAATTAGGGTTAAATTAGCCCCTTAACACTACAAATAACATTGCCAAATTATAACAAAATTGGGTGTTTAAAATATTTACGAAATAGCATTTTTTAATAAAAGATTAACACCCTGTATCTTGAAAACGAAGCATCTGCGGACCAATGTTTATATGAACTTTTTGTATTAAAATCACTCAAATAATCGTCTGTTGAATTTATTGTACATACTTAATTAACACCATATATTTCCAAAACATTATGCATTTATTTTTGACCTACTTTTATGTTATCTTATCATATTTTTGTTATTAATTAAAATTTTCAAGTTAATAAAAATACCTTCAGCTTCGGCATCGGCTTCGGCCGAAGGTGACCCATAAACCGAAGTTCGGCTACGGCTTCACAAATCACATTCGGTCGATCTCTACCTGCCATGAAATCATATACATATCGATGTAATCGTATGTTATATTCAACAATTTATGGAGACGATATACTTATTTATTAAATAAATGAAGTAAAAATCGCCATCAGTTAAATCTAGGTATATTAATTTTATAACAATTTTGTAATTTTACATTTGTATTGTTTTGCGACACAAACACGCAAGAATAAAAAAATTGAAATAAAACGTTACGTAACATAAAACTCGGAAAATTACAGTCTGATTTCGACTACATTGCACAACCTTGCTGTTAGGTATAAATTAACCTTGACCATAACCTATGTACTTAACGAAATCAGTAGAGTATTTAATTAACGAGGTCATGTATTTTAACAATAGAACAGTTTATAATTATATGATTTATGTAATTGCTTTGCCTTTTGCAGTTCCAACCAAATAAACGGGATAATTTAATAGTTAAAATTAATTCACAGTTCACATTGCCGGAACAGAAATTAAATCCAGCTTATAAGCAAAGACGTAAAAAAGTTTATAAATACAAAGCGCAATATGTTGAAACATGTATACGTAATTTGAGAATTAAGTTGAATTTGTTGGCTAAGCTATGAATACACGATGATCCAGAAAACATTGTACATACACCAAGGGCAGAAATAATATAAAATGAAATACATGGAAACAGTTTTGCGTTATTCTTTATTTCGTATACAAATTAAGTAATTTATATTTCTGCATTGGAACTGAACAAACCGTACAAGGTGTTTTCTAAGTCCATGTCATACTTTAGGAGGTTCATTTTACATAAAAAAGTCCTAATGAACCAATTATTTAAACTGGCTTTTAAGATAGAAATATTTAAAGATACTATTTTAAATAAAGCGTTACTTAAAAAATTATTTAAAATAGTATCTTTTAACAACAATTCATGTAGTTTTTTGTGAAACTAAATAATTTTGAAGATATTTTAAATTTATTCAGTTGTCTGAATTTTCTTTTAATTTAAAAATATAGCAACTCTTAATATAACGAGAAATAATAACTTATAGTACTTATCCAATTTTAAAAATATCGAAATAAATGAAATAGACCCTTGAGTTTGGAAACCGATATTAAGAAAACGTAGTTGCAAATAAATTTGTAATTTGGACCATATATAGCCTCACTCACTTTCTCTATTGGGTGCTAAAATTTCAATTAGTTTCGTTATCCCATTTTTTAGTTATTAATGAAAATGTTGAAAAAATTACTGTTTTCTGCCTACAAAATTGATACCTCTCACTTTTACTCGTCGTAATTTTCTTAATTGATAAAAAATTCCAAATTATTACTGACGATAAGACGAATTATTGTCTTTAGTACGGTGAAGGTCATTTGTCTCAAAAGCTCTTCTTTTTTTTTGTAAAGAAAAAATTAAAAAGGGCAGTTCGAAAATGATTTAAAAATACACTTTTGCACGGCACTGGAAACTGGTCCACTGTAAAACCTGACCTCACACAATGTGAGTGGCATGGCCGTAAAGTGTGATGATTTGACATACCTGATGTTACAACAACTGTTCAAAATTTTATCCATCGACATGTAAACACATTCGGGCCCGTCTTACTCAGTTTCTACGAACTAACACAAATGTTGTTTTGCTTCACCATAAATTAAAAAGAATATCCATTAACTCCGGGTTGCTATACACGCAAGCCATTTTTGACACTAACTACTAAAAAACTATTGTAAACACCACAGATAACAGGTAAACACTATCGCAACAACGATTGTAAAATCGGATTTCAGTATTCGGAGTCGCTGAGGCTACGTAGTTTTCCACGCGTATTGCGAATGACGCAAGAGGCTACAGTTGTCCAGCTATGTACTCGTTTAATGTACTACAACTCCAACAATTTTTTTCTCGGAAAATGTAAGGATTTTACAAACAAATTTTTACGATATTGACTCTATTTCTCATTTCGCATCTATTCCCATTTTTTTTGGATAAGTTTTGAATCATCCTATATATATTTATTATTATAGATATCTACTTAGAAGTATAGCGCATTGACTTGAAATGTTCTAACATAAGTACCTACCATTTAAATTTTAAAACTTCTATGGATATTCCTATATCTAGGATTTTTACATAATTTATATGAAGTAACTGATAAAGGCAATGCAAACTAAATTACAAGATCCTGATAACAAATAACATTAGTTTTATTTGGCATATAATTATATCTAATCTAATTCGCACATGTAACATAGGTATTTCCTTCTTCAAATGATAATAAAAAATAGTGTTATTTTCGCAAGTCGCAACCTTGTTGAATAATTGAGTAGGCCTATGTACAATTTTTGACTATTTACATGAACTGTCATTGTGTTAATTTTGAAACGTTTTGTTTTATTAAGAGAGGGTTGTGAAAATATTTATTCTCAGGAGTAGTCTATCTCGAGTTTCGACTGAATTGGTTTTGAACTACACCGGAAGAGATGGTTATAAATTTTAGGTGTGTTCTGCGTTTGCCGCTGTAGATAAAGACGGACTGGGTTGAGTAAAGAACGCAAATTTGTTAGTTGTTGTAGGTTCAACGTCAAACATCCTTGCAAAACTCGAGCGCGGCTCGTAAACCGTTTCTGTTAGATAAAAAAAGTCACTAATAATAATTTATAATTTATAGTTAACTGTATAATTTAATCTATATTACAATCAAGTAAAGATTAGGTTTATCTTATCTAAATAAGTTATTTATTTACATTTAATGTAGTCAGTTACTTCGGTAAATGTGGTATGAGTGCGGTTTTTTGTGCTGTTTTCTATAATGATCGTCGAAAGTACTTCTCCCGGACAATACCTTACGATCAGGCCCAGATCGAGGAATCCTATGCGAATTCCAAGAAGTCCTAGGCTTCCCAGGAGGAACTCGGATTTCATTTTGACGTATAATAGGTACTTATCCTGACAGTGCATTTTACCAGCTACTATTTAACTTATTTTACCTGTAGGTACTGCTTTATTATGTTTTTAAATTTTCCTTTATTACAAATTTATAGCAGTTCAAGCATTGCCGGTGTATAGAAAATATTTTTGTACCTAATTATAATGCCAAGGTCTTATGGTGCCTCGTAATTATAGTGCGTGTTATCACGATGCGTTTGCCACTAATTATTTAGTAAAAAACTTCTATTTACATTTATTTTACCTGTGTCTCAAAAAAATATTAAAAAAAAATATTTATGCTCACATGCCTCTACACAAATAGGTACCTACATGCGATTATATTATGTTTATGTTACTAAATTTATGTTAATCGATTTTACTTTATTCAGTAACGGTAATCAAATTTTATTCAAATTAGCATAGCTGTCTGAACTTAACACTGGATTTAGTTTTATAATCGATGTTAAACTCTTATCAACCAATATATAATCAAAACTAATCAAGTTGATCATATTATTGTGAGCCAGTAAACTGTTAATTTTTTCAATCCTCGGTGACACTTTATTGGTTTTAAATGTGTCAGGAATTAAATTTGTTTTTCTTTTTATCTGTTGAATAGGAAAAACTTCTTTATTTTTCATTTTATCGAAAGAAGTTACTCTTGATAAACAATTTTGCGGGTTCTTAAAGTAAGATTGGAATAGAAAAATTTAACATTTCTTGTACGGGGTGTTAAAAAAACTGAAAAAACTTTAAATGGTACAAGAGTAAAGTGCACTTATTTGTAAAGATGTGGAAATAATTTACTAGAAAAAGTTGTTCAAAAGTGAAACTCTCTCTCTGATACCAATTTTTGAAAAAATCGGTCTACTTTTATTTATTTGTAATCATTAAATTTATTCTATACAAAGTAAATTATTAAAAATTAACAATTCACAAATTTTAAAAGTTTATTAATTTAAACGTACAAGTAATTCATCAAAACTTCTTTTAACCTCATCTAAAAATATCGAAGCAATGGCATCTCTAATCGCAACCTTTATTGATCAGTATTGGAATCTATTAGAGGTCTGCGATAAACAATTTGTTTCAATCAACCCCTTAGGAAAAATTCCATTATTGTCAAATCTGGACTCCTAAGAGGCCACTGAACTGGTCCTTGCCTCCCAATCCTCTGGTCTGGAAATATATGGTCTAACCATTGTCTTACACTTGCCGCATAATGTGCTGAGCATCCATCTTGTTCAAAATAAAATGAACGACGGTATTCTAACGGAAGGTTTTCTAATCCACCGTCAAGAAAATTTCTTAACATATCTAAATAACTATTCACATTATAAGAGGTGTTAAAGAAGTATGGCCCTATTATTCCGTAATAAGAAATGGCGCACCACACATTTACTTTAGAAAAATATCCGAAAATGCGGATTAGACTCGCTCCAATGTCGTATATGTTGCGAAGCCACAACAACATTGGTTGAAAAAGTTGATTCATCATAAAATATGAGTTTTTTATAAAATCCTCTTTCCATACTGCTAGCCCACAAACAAAAATAACGTTTTGCTTCATCACCGAATTCCAAAAAATAATTAAAAACAGGCTTGTATGAATATATCTTATTTTGTTTTAATATCTTCTGAATTTGCGACTTTTTAACAAATTGTAGATTTTGAGCTCTTCTTAATGATAATAATTTGGGGTAATAAATTATAACAGCGAATTGTCAAATCAACTTGTCACTATCAACGCCTACTAGAACAAGATCGAATTGTTAATTTGGAATAATTTAATTTGTATAAATAAAATAAATTTAATGATTACAAATAAATAAAATTAGGCCGATTTTTTGGAAAATTAGTATTAGAGACTGCCTTTTACTTTTGAACAACTTTTTCTAGTAACTTATTTCCACATCTTCATAATTACTCTTGTACGATTTAAAGTATTTTCAATTTTTTGAGGATCCCGTACAAGAAATGTAAAATTTTTCTATCCCAACCTTACTTTAAGACTTAAATTTTTTATCAAGAGTAACTTTTTTCGATAAAATGAAAAATAGAAAAGTTTTTCCTATTCACACCATTAATAGACCATAGACACCTTAGAATATCGGTTAAATGCGGAAAGTTTTAGACCAACTTAATGACACCGACATTAGGCTTTGGAGGTGTTTTTTAAAAAAGTGGTATTTTTGTTATTTTCTCGAATTTTTTTAAATTTCTAAAAGCTTTGTCACATCAACTTTTTCCAAATATTTTCACTTTCAGCACGTTATTATTATTTTTTGTTTTTGTAATATACTGTTGAAAGGCTTGGAAGGTGCTTTTCCTATTCAGCATAAAATCCGATATAAATCCAATATGGCGGCTACGCAAACAGTTTCTCAAAACCTGATATTTACACCAACCACATGATTAACAAAAAATATCAAAAAAGTAAAATATCAGTCGATATCAAAATTTGTAATTTTCCTGCTAAAAATTTAATAGAGCAATTTGTCTAAAGAAAAAACCTGCATACAGTTTTGAAGACTCACTCATATGTTAAAATGGGAATGATTTCGTTGTTGTTTTGTAATGCAAAATATTTTATTTACTGGTATATTGTTAGTCATTGTTTAAAAATTACAAGTCATGCAAACTTGTGCTTGCTTATGTTTCAAGTAATTGAAATAATTTGTGTTAACAGATAAATCCATTTATTGATTAAATCAGCAATGCAAATTATATTTCCAGGCAGAACATATTAAATACCTAATAGTTTTAAAAAAGCCAGCATATACTTATTAATTTACAATTTTTCGAAAAATTTTTCCAAATTTAATTTTCTTATTAAGGTAAAAATATGTTCAAGTAAAATTTTCTAAGTAAAATAATTAATATGTAACTATCTGCGGTTTTTGAGATAAATTTATCTCATTCTGTCAAACCACATAAAATTTGATTAGACTTACTGTTGGAACGAATTTTCAAGTTAATCTTTTGTTAATTTATCGTCAGACAATGTAAGTCATCGAATTATATCTATAAATTTAATTATAATTAATCTATTTAAATCTGAAAAAAGTACCTTAAGAATAATTTTCAAATAATCTCATTTATTTAAATGTCCCTAATGTTAGGTCGATGGCAAAACGACTTCTTCGGGCATAATTCCTCAAAAATTTGAAATAAAAGAAAAGTGTAAAGCTTTTATTCATATTTTGACATGTTATAAAAATTAGAAAGAAAAATATGCGCACGTTCCATGCTGCTTTTAGACTCGGTGAAATAAACAATTGAATGTCAAACAGATGGAGATAAAATCAATTCAAGATTTTTCGGATAGATTGCTTTTTTTAGGGTTACATTGATATAAGGCTTAATAGATGTCTTTGTAGTGATAAAAGAGATATGATTAACATATTGTGTTGGAACAATATACAGGGTGGCCATTAATTGAACTGTCAAACTTCCACAAAGTGTAGGGCAGCTTAAAGATGGTCTTGATAAAGAAAATAACCTTTTTCCTCTTCGAAAAGTGGTAATTAAAAAAATGATTATTTCTGAAAAACCCCGGAGAAAATAGAAAAAACTGAAAAACGTCCTCGTAATTAGCATAAATAATACAGCAAATAAAGATGTAATGTTTTTCTTCAGTAGTAAAAAAAGAAACAAAATCGTAAAATATATTATTTATTGAATTACTATATTGCATATTACTAAATACTGATGTACTGAATATAATGTATAAAATGTGTTTTTTCTGATCCTCATATGTGCCAAAATATGAATGGAAACTATGTACTAATAGACGAAAGTTTTCTGATGATAGTAATTTATAATATAGTAAATTGACTTTTATTAATCTAAGATGGAGAATAAGAAAATATATAGATAAACATTGTAAAATGAAACGAAACAATGAAAAAATATATATAATATCAATTTTAATAATAAGAGAATTTTTTTATTAATACCAACTGTCATATATTTAGTAGAATAGAAATTATTCTGCTTTATGATTTTGCTAGGCGTTTGATAGAGCAATAGCAGCACGTTACAGTTACAATTTTTGGGTGTGCTTTTACTAAACTTATAGTAGTATTTGAGAACTACTTACTAAGGGTTGAAAACATTTTACGTCTACTTACAAAGTTCAAATACACCATATTTGCTACTTTTTGATCTGAAAACAATTTATACGCTGCCTAAGTAATACTGGAACAACAAGACATACTAACCTATCATCATATTTGCCCGAATATGAAAATCACGTGGAACGTCAGCCAATTATAAAGCGCTTCATATAGCGAGTTCGAATCTTTCTGACCTGCACAAGATGCACAGGGTCGACTTACATTTATGGTTAATTCTCTCAATTAATTTTCTCGAAAATAGAAACATTTAAACCATCAGTTGCTCTTTTTCGTGCCCTCTATCACCCTTTTCCAAGAACGCCCTTATTTCGGAAACACCCTGTATATTCTGCGAAGCCAAAAAGTAACGAAAAGATATGAAGATCCACATCTAAGGAAAGAATAAATATGCATTTAGTAGTGACAAGAAAACCATTTACTAGTGCCTAAAAAGTCCTTTAGTGGAAGCAAAAAAACATTTACTTCTATTACATTAAGTCTAATAGTTATAATAAAAGCGTTTGCTAGAACTATTTATGAAGAAAATTAGAGATAGCATTATAACAGTAAATTAAAGATTAGGAAAACTTTTTAACCGCTAGTAGGTTCCTATTGGCATTTTGTGGCAGCAACGTAATCCTTCTGGTTTCTAGAGCATTTTTTTATGGTTAATTAATTTTTACTATGGCGAAAACGTATTTTCCTCGCTGTGAACCGTTATTTAGATTAAAGTGATCTATATCATGTTTATTATTATTATTGTTATTACCTTTTAACTCATTGGTTGATTTTTCAAACGTCGCACTGCAGCGTTGATTATACATACTTTTTACTGCCCTGATAATCGAGTCTCATAAAATGTTATATTTGACATAAATTCAGAGATTAAGTAGATAAATTATACTTGAGATTGCAGCAATTAGGTCCCAAAATATACTTGTATCAGATGTAAAGAGGTTGGTTGCGCAAAAATTGATCCCATAGAAAACATAAAGTATAAAAAAAGTTTTATAGAGAACGGATGAGAGAATGAGTATTTTAATTTAAGAACATACAAAACAAAATATTTTTCCGTCAGGTTCCAGAAATCATATCAGCGAGAAATGTATTTAAAAATCAGTCAGTTCAATTAATAATAAATCAGCACTTAAAGATATTCATTTGTACTTCTGCTGTGGAATAACAATGGAAAAAATTAATGTCATTGGCCTCGAAAGTAGTTGGTAGACAATATTTTAATCTATACAAATATTTATTAAAATCTTATCACAAGAATGAATAAGGAAATATAAGTAAAACAAACAAAAAGCTTTTGTTCTAATTTTCTGTATTATTAGTTATTTTAGCGGTTAAAATATAATTTATGGGGATGACTTACTCAAAAAATATTTAAAACTGTGTATATCAAAAATGGCATGATCTTCTGCCAAGAGAAATAAATTACTATTTGTCACTTAATGGCACATATATTATCATTAGACTAACAACAAAATACCTAAATATTTTTAACCCTGAGCGAATCAGTTCTTCAAATACAAATGACACTTTTATTGTTCATTTATAAAGGCTTACATGATTACTGATTATACTTTAATCACAATTAGATTTAGTTAACTCTCGACATATCATAATTTTAACGAGTAGGTACGCAATGGACCATATCTAAAAATAGGTACTTAGATCTAAATTCGACCTTTTTACTGAAACCGTGATAAACATAATAATATATTTTCTGCGAGTAAAGAAAATTTATACCAAAAGACGGAGATTTAAAAGAACGTATTCAGCAATTACTTTTAAAAATGGAGGAACATTGGGTATTTATGATATTCAGGCACATGGTGTGTTTATTTTCAAGCAGATTGATCAAGCTGAATATAATTTCAACTGTCCACTATATGAGGGCCGTTCAGAAAATAACCAAACTTTATTTTTTTATACTTTATTATTAATTTTATACATTATTAGTCCTTGTATCCTCTCCCCTTTTTCACAGCGGTGTTTCCATTTCGCGAAACAGTCCTGGATAGCATAATTTGAAATGGCCTTTAAAGCTTATGATGAATTTGCTTTGATGTCATTAATAGTCTGAATACGACCTCTTTTCAGCACTGATTTTAATTTCGGAAATAAGAAAAAATCGCAGAGCCAGGTCTGGCGAGTAAGAAGGGTGAGGAACGACTGATTATTGGCACAAAACTGAAAATTGACAAAGGGGGTGCATTGTCATCGTACAAGAACCATGAAATGCGATATTTTTCAAGAACCATTGTAAAACGCCTTGATAGTACAAGGTTCACTGTTTCACCTTTAGGCCAGAATCCAAAATGCACAATTCCATTAAAGTCGAAAGAAACAGTGAGTATCACTTAGACATTGGATCGCGACTGATGTGTTTTTCTTGGGGCGTGGAGATCTTTTGCAAATCCGCTCTGATGAATGAAATTTTGTCTCAATGATGTAGACGTAAACCCAGCTTCCGTCTCCCGTTAGGATCGTTTCAGTGAATGTTTTATCTCCATTGAATTGTTCAAGGACTTGCCGACAAACGTCCACACGATTTTCTTCCTGTTGTTCGGTAAAATGGGGCTGCCTATATAAGAATGACCAAACGAATTCAAAATTTGTGTGTATACAGAATAATATTTTTGGACGTCGGAAATATTTTAGCTGTAGCTTTTGAATTACATTATTCGTAAGACTGAAGGCTAGGAGACCCTTGAAATCAAAATTCTATAACGATATTAAGAACACATATTTATTTGTTTATTTTATTTATTATTTTAAATTGTTGCATTGTTGATAATAAATATGTCTGAACAGTTTTTGATATTAAGTAAAATGTGTTATTGAAAGAACTGGATATACGCGTAATTTTGTAAAATAATCTTGAAGTTTGTTGTTTCCCTCCAAAACTAAAAATAAGGAAGTTAAAAATATGTTTCAAATGATATATTTTAAAAATATCAATATTTATAAAAAACCTCTAAGATAGACAGAAACCAATATCTTATATTGTGCAATGTTTTAGTAAGACATGTAAATTGAAAGAAGTGATAGATACTTAAAAAATTAAATTCCATGCTCTGTTTTCAGTACCTGGTGGTAGACTAGATTAAGTAATAGAACTAAATAATTTGGTCATTTTTAAAGAGGAACTTTCAAAGAACTTTCAAAAAGTGTGTTGAGTGTGAGGTGATGAAATTAACCTATATTTTTATTAAAATAACAAATAAAATACTTCCTGAGCAATTTCATGAGAATACGGAATATTAATAAAACGATAAATCTATGATTTTGAAAGGCAACTTAAGAAATATACTTAAATAGTCTTTATTTTTTTTTAGTTTCGACGTTGAAAATGGAGCTAGTCCCGGTAGAAGTCCATTGGATGGCGCGGCATCCCCATCCGCTGGACTGGTATTGCAAAATCTTCCTCAGAGGAGGGAGAGCTTCTTGTACAGATCTGATAGCGATTTTGAGATGTCCCCGAAGTCTATGTCCAGGAACTCTTCCATAGCCAGCGAAAGGTAGGCATCCTCAATTATTTCTATCATCAAGGTTCTAAAAAGGTGACTTTGCAAGTTATTGAAATTGAGAGTTTTTAAATTTAAAGTAGGACGTTGTGTAGTTTTATAAATTGTTGCAAATTATTATTAGAAACGTTCTATTTTTAAAATTTAAGATCGATAAATTTTCAAAGAGCGCCATCTGTCGCTTGGAAGTCGAACCTGAGCGGTATATAAGTCACGGCATAGGAATATTTCAACGTTTTCTGCTTATATGAAAATAGCCGAGTTGGAAACCAAATCAATACCTTATTTCCCTAAAAGTTTCCTTTTTATATTTTCCAGCCTGTATTGATTTTTTGGTGGGCGGATAATTTCCTTAAATAATCAATTATCCTCAGACTAGCTAACTTAATGTTTGCATTAAATAAATAAAAAAAATGTAAATACCACTAACAAAATTATTACCAGCACAGATTTACTAACAACATTTAAGAAATTTCTCTCTCTTGAAAATAGACTAAAATATTGAATTGAAATTGATGACTAACATACATTTTCACGACTTTTGTTCAAAATCTTCTTCCATTATTTTTAACTTGAATCAAATTATGATTTAGACAAATATGTGCGTAATAAAAGCATCTTTTTAATGTAAATACCTACAGAGCTAAACTAAAAATAAATATAAAAGGTTCCAAAAAATGGTCCAACTAACAAAGTTCTAGGATCAAAATACTCCTTATTTAAATAGTACAGGATATACCAGAATCATGTAGGTGATTTTAAATAAAAAGTCATTCTTTGTCATATATTTACGTTTAAGCTGAATATATTTCCATTTTTCTCAAAGACCGTATCATAAAAATTCTTAACAGATAGACAAAAATTTTTTAAATAAATTTTGTACAAGAAAGACAAATTATACTTAAGTTATTAGTGTACATACGAAAAAGTTATGCACTAAATGACATAAGGCCAGTAGTCAAAGAAATGATTTATCTGCCTATATTTATATTTACAAACAAGTATATTGCACAGATTCTTCGGGTAAAAACATAATGGAACCTGCCGTATGCACTTATTGATACACTGAAAAAAGGATTTATTTGGACTAAATAAATATCGTTTGCCATGAACTAATCCTAGTTTTGGATATTGCCTAGCATATATATTGTGAAAAGTAACTAATAATAAGTTCATAGTTTTGTAATAAATCTTATTTGAATGTTAATTTATTTTTAGTGTAATATCACATTTCGCCTCTTTATTATTAATCTACATATTTTAAGATGTAGATGACATAAGATTATTAGAAATATATCTTAGCTTAATGTGAACTAACAGTTTTTCAGTGAAATTAGGTTATTTTAATATTAATAAATGAATGGTTTATAAAAAGTGAATTGTTTTTTTCGCTAAAATTGGACGTATTTCTTTCTTGATTAGTCTCAAAATGATGTACTTTCTCAAATTTAATTAAACTGATAATTAGATAACTTATCTAAGTTTATAATTTTTGAAATGGTACACAGTGTTGAGATCTACTAATAGAGAATCACATGCGAGTATATACGATACTTTTATTCGAACATTTCATTTTTGCTAAAAATTAATTTTAAGATTTGTATTTTCCGAACTTATTATATACATACATATATCGATCAAAACTACTTGTCATAGTTGTTGACAGTTTAATGATTTAAAATAATTGGTGGATTGTTAAATTGGGTTTTATTATAAATTTATGAAACTACAACAGCAACACTATGTCCTTATTTAAAACTGACTTTTTGACGATTACTACTTGTTTGACCCTAACTTTCACAATTTCTGCATCCATTTTAATGATGAGTAAACGGAACACAGCACACAGCACTCTGTAACTATATGCACATGTTATATTATGAATATGATCTAAGAACAACAAGAAACACTACCTTTTGATATACTCGTAGTCCATACCGAGGTCCATACTAGCCTACTGAACTAAACAATACACTACAGGCAGCTTGCATACATAGTCGCCATGATGGCGAAGATACGACTGTCAGGGGAGAACACAACTTGGTCACGTGATTGGAATAATTTTTAAATAATATATTTTACTATTGAACTGATAATAGTTTTAAACTATATAAAAATTTAACTTTTATAACCAGCTCGTTCACATTTAAGAAATTATATATTTGGAATAATTTTCCTTTAAAGTTTATTGTAACGTTTGATAGACTAATATAAAATAATATTTATTAAATAAAAACGAATATAAATTTGTATTAAAAATTTATTCTTTTAATTCGCCTAACAAATATTCTAAAATCATAAATGGTTATATTAAATCTAATTTGTTAATTATAGACAAATCTGTTGCAAACTGTTTCTTTTTTTAATTCAAACAAATCAAATGACTTGTATTGAATGTAACTGGTTTATCTCAATGTAACTAGCATAAATGTAAACTAACCGATTCCTTTAATAGAAAGTAATTGTTTTTTCAGTGTATAGGGGCTTCTTTTTCAAGATACAAAAACAATTTAATTCATTCATTTGTTTGTTTTTGAGATATTAAGATGAAATATTACATAAACGGATATCTTATACCAACACATCTTTTGTATACTTTATTCAAAAAATTACAAGCGCGGGCGGAGGAAGAGGATTCGTAGAATTCATCGACCTCCCACTTTTTTCTGCCTACGTCCTTTTTAAAGATGTTGTTACAAATTTCTTTATTATATTATTATATTTTTGTTACCCTTGCAAAAAAGTTTTATTTATTGCTTGATTTACGAGATATTGTAATTTGTTTAGATATACCACATCGACGTATTTCCCGTTCTTTAAAATCCTCAATTTTTCGAAGGCGACAACTCTTGACAAAGGTGTCTTTGAAGGGTATTAATTGCAATATTTTTGTACATCTAGCACTATAATTTTCTAAAGCTACGTTCCAAATTAATTTAGTAAATAGATGTTGAAGTAGATGAAAATACCTAAGATAAATTAAGTTTCCGCGATATTTAATTTTTGTTAGTTCCTAAAAGTTTACATTTGCATTTGTTTTAATCTCTTGGTTGTGTTTATTCTTAGTAAGGAACGGTAATATGGAATATCACTTTTATTTGTATCGTTATCTTTGACTGCAGTACTTAGAATATTCTAGTGGATGTGGGGAAACGGTTCAGAAATAAAAGTCCAATATCAAAATAACTGAACACATATTTCTTATAAAGTAAATAATAGCGCAATTCTTTTTACTGGCAAAATTGTAAGGTAATATGGAATATATCGTAAAATAAAAGATAGCATTTCTAGCAACTGAAATCAGCACACAATTCGTGAACCCAAAGTTCTTATCTCAAACAATGTATCTAAATTTCTCCTCTTGAGACATAAAATGTCCCGAACAGAAATTATATTCAGCTTCATCGTTCAGAGTTTGGGAATACTTCGTCATGAGATGAGTCAATTAAGAGTAGGGAATCTTCAACTTATCAGAAGACTCCTCGTTGTTTGTTATTTTTATCGGTCTTTCTCTAGCACCACTAAAACTTACTTTACTGTTGTCACAAACTGTTTACCAGTAGCAGGTATAAAATCATCTATCATATTTTTCTTTGTTTTGCCTCCAGTACTTCTTTTTAACTTATTCTTTTCTGTAGCGGATATGCCTCAACTCCACTTCGTTCTTATTAGGAGCTGATTTCAAAATTTTGACTTTTCCTGACTTCCGTATGATGGTCGTCCAAGATCAAAAGTATTGGGTCGTCAGCACTTGGTCTTACATGCTCTAAAAGTGGTTGATTCATCGCATAAATAAGTATATTTCAAATCACTCATATCGATGGAAAGCAAAATTGGTTCCTGATGCAGATTTTTTCTTTAATAAATCGTTGCCATTTTTATGATGGAAATCGGCGGCACGTATTTGTCACCTTCATTCATACACAATATCAAGTCACAAGGGAACCTTATTCTGCAGATGTAAGCAAACTTATTTGCTGTTTCCCTTTTAAAAATAACACAACAGGGCATCTGGAATATTAAGTCCAGTTTTTTCGACATTAATAATCTGATTTGGTTGAGGAATATATCTTAACAGAAATATAATAAGACTCTGACTAACATTTTTTTTCTTAAATCCTAATGCGCGAGAGGACGATGTTTCATTAGGTTTTTCCAGACTCGGTACGTCCTCATGTCTCATTTTAAAATGATACAGCCATTCTTTTCCAGCCCAATTTCTGAGTAGTGAAAAAGAATTTGGAATGTTGTTCATCCTAACTAGCTGAAATCCAATATTACGGGCGTCTCACCTTGTTTTCTACATTTTTCTACATTGATAAGCAGTATTTCACTAGTTCACTTCTTTAAATGTTCTGTCAAAATAGGCTTTTTATTTAATTTTGTTTAGCATAGCACGTCAGAAGACACATATGTATTACAAAGTCGAAACAGAGCAACACGAGGCACATTAAATCATATGCATGCCTTTAAATAGTCCATTGTTTTAGACCTAATTGTTGCTATTGTCGTCCAACTTGCGTTGAGATGATGGTACCTTATTCTCATATTTCGCGGCATTTCTAGCAAAAACATTCAAAATATATTTATATATGCACAGACAATGGTCGGGTATATAACTACCAAATAGTTAATGCTATCAAAACTCTATATTCCTGGGCGAGTTTGGAGTTAAAATAAATGAACTTCTACCTGCGGAGCACAGATGGTACTAGTAGAGTCTCTAACATTTAGGTATTCCATTTTCCCCTAACTGAAAATTTTACCATTAAATTATTTAAATTCCTCAAATTTGATTAAGTAAATTACAGAAACATATAACTAAAACGTTTTTAAATACTCAGCCCTAAATGTGGTATAAAAGATACAATATTTTGTAAATTAAGCCTTGAATCAAAATTTGGAAGAAAGAAAAAGTAAAAGAACGCAATATTTGATCTTAAAATAGGATCATTAGATCATAAAGAAAAGAGGTGACTCAGTGACTAGAGACTACTCTGTCTACCTAACGATTTTCTTTTTATCAAAGTTACAAAAAAGATATATCGGCATAAGGCAAGGTCTGTGAAAAATGTAGTGAAAATTTAAAACTTACTTAAACTTAATATCAAAAAAACGACAGATATTATGTAATAAAATCATTAATTGTAATTTTTACTCCCTGTATCTTAAAAGAAGCCCTATTATTTTTATTCAGGGAATCTATTGTGAAACAGTTCACCATTTTTTTTGTATGACAAATTATTTCACTTACTTGACTTAAAATAAATCTTGACTGAAAAATAAATTTATTATTTTTCCCAAACAAATGTAGTTTTGATTCATGTTCCTAAAAGTCTGTGGTTAAGATATTTTTTTTTTCATTTCTGTAAGTACTGTTACAAAATTTGTGAAAGGTCAAAACTGTTTCGTTCATACATAACACATAAAATATTCATATAAATGTAAAACATGCAGTGTGTGCAGGGGCAACATTAGTGGCATCATATTCGTTAACGTACTGCTCTTCAGAAATGTAGAAATGATGCCACCCATTGTGCTACTTCATTTTAGTTTCATGAGATATCCAGTTTCTGGGTCAAGTTTTTACCTGAGTTGTAATTCTTCCGGCTGTAATGATGTTGAATCCTTCAAGCGCGGAAAACCGCGTTGATTAATGAGGTATCTTTTTATTTCGTAGGTTTTGAGGGAAAAATGGCGCCTTGCTAGGTAATTCCACTTCATCCATTGTGTCTGAAACTGAGTAGAGTAGTGTTTTGAATTTTTATTTATGAAAATATTGGGAATTATTATTACAAGTTAAAATTTGCCAAGTATTAATTAATTTATAAGAAAAAAATGTGAATAGGAACAGTATCTCCAACGAGACTAATTAAGTTATTTTTTCCTACTTGATGAAAAAGTCGTACCTAATGAATTCTAATAATTTTACATTTATATGTATGTATAAAAATGTACAAATGAAAGAGTACAAAATTTAGTTTTAGCAGTGATCCAAATAGCTTGTACTATTGTATATAATTACATAGATTTTGGACAACAAACTTTAATTATCGTGAAAATGGAAGACAAAATGTTCTGAAGAATAAAATTTGGTTAAAAATGTTGCTAATGCAAATTTGTGCTGAGTAAAATATATGTTTTAATGTTGTATATTGTACATTATATTTGTAGTGGTACTTGTCAAGAAATAACAGTTATTAATGGACATGTTTAATGATTAACACTTTCAGTTCACACACATTGTTCGTAATAATACGAAAGTCACATATGGCACTATGATTTGCAATTCTGAACAATAATAAATTGTCAAATATAAATATATAATAGGAAACCATATTAAGAATATTTAAAACTATTAAATATTTATTAAAATACTTATATAAAATAAATTTATTTATTTCTAAATGATTTTTAAGTGTACACACTTTCGATTTTTAGTTGCTAACATATTGGCCTGTACGTATCTGTGTGAATTACAATACACTTTTTTTATTCTCGTGAAACTAAATTCATTTATATGATCCGATCCTTTATGTTTTATCAAGTAAAATACTATAACTTACTACTTTATGTGCATAATTAAACCAACTGAAAATATAACCACAATATAAGTGATTGGTCTTAATGAAAAATTTTTTTATAGCTTTTTAAAAATCCACATTGGTAGTTTCTAAACTGACATTTTTTACATAACGCTGTTTTCTATGTTAACATGGGGCACCAAATTTGTAATTCAATTTTATTTGTTCAGAAATATAAAATGATTTTCAAAGTTACTCCTTTTATAATTGAAGATATCAACTGAATATACCTGAATTTAATTTCATATTGTTTACTTTTGATTTACTTTTTTTCAATATTGACTTTTTTCACTAAGGTGCATTCCAAAGAAACGAGGACCTTTCAAAAATAGATATTTCTATTGAGGCCATCTATTGGCGAAAAGGTAGATCCTTCACTAATGTACTGTCAAAATTTCATAACATTTGGGCGATTGGAAACGAAGTATTGCATCTGAAGTGACAGTATGTTTGTATCATTGCATCGGTACAAAAATGAACGTCGAACAAAGAGCTAATATTATGTTTTGTTTTAAACTTGATAAAACTTCTACCAAAACGTTTCAAAATTGATGAACCAAGTTTATGGTGATGATTGTTTATCCCGTGGCAGAGTTTATGAGTGGTAAACGAGGTTTAAGAACGGTCGTGAGAACATAAATGATGAGCAGTATATTAGCCAACCGAAACCCGTGGTTACTCAAATTCCATCAAAACTGAGAAATCAAAGATCAACTTCATTGAAATTCATGGAATTGGTATTTGAGCATCTCAAAAACATCAATTTATCGCATTTTGGCTGAACATTTGGGCTACCGGAAAGGGTGTCCACGGTTTGTTCCGCATAAGTTGACTGAGAGCCAAAAATTGCTCAGAATTCAACATTCGAAGGACATCATCAAGGAGGCCAAAAAGTACAAAAACTTTCTTTACAACATTGTGACTGGTGATGAAACGTGGTGAAACCAAGCGCCAAACTGCCGAATGGAAGGCGGCAGACGAGCCCAATCCCAAAAAATATCGTTTGGAGAATTCAAAAGTGAAGACAATGTTGATTTGTTTTTACGATTCCAATGGAAGTGTCCACAAAGAGTTAATTCCACCGGGCCAAATCATTAATGCTCAATTCTATCCTGACGTTTTGAAGCGTTGTTGCATGATAATGTTCCATCTCGTCGATCGACACTTGTGACCAATTTTTTTGACTAAAAATCACATTTTAACTCAACCACTCGCCATATTCGCCTGATGTGGCACCGTGCGATTTATACTTTTTCGGAAAAATGCATTTGCAGATGAAAGGAAAGCGTTTTGTGGATGTAGAAGCCATCCAAAAGGCATCCTGAGGACATCCAGGCCGATAATCTAAAACATTCATTCGACTAATTTAAATAAAATAAATCGGTTTTGCCAAAAAAACTTTTTGTTAAAAAGCCCTGTTTACTTTGGAACGCACCTTCTGGAACAACATTTTGGTCATAGAGAGAGTTGGAAATCTGTTATGTACAAAAGGTGGTAGATCCACGAAAACGCAAATTCGCGATATTTTAACACAAATTCCTAAAGAATTTAGTAAGAGATACTTGATAAAGAACTGAAACTATTGAATAAAGATTTCTTTTAAAATTGTTTTGTGACAAGCGAAGAAATCTTATGTACGATCTATTTTTCAGATTCAAGGAGACTGAAAACATTTTGGAAAGATCGTATGTACTTTTTTCGTTTAGAAGTATGTTGCACCTTTTAGAGTAACCTTAGCGAAATTAGATAAAGATCTCTCCTGCATGTCGAAATTTTTGTATGCATTTATGTTTTTCTGTGCCAACTAACATGCAAAAGTTACCAAACCGATAAGCAGGGAGCAACTTTTTAGACAGTAAAAGATTTTTTTCCTTGAGTATTTTTTGCCAAGTTGCATAAAACTTAACATCAAAATATTTTACACTAGATATTATGAGATTTACAAAACGTTCCTAACATAAGTTCTTTCATCCCCTTTTATTTATATATAATGTATTGTCCTTCTATTATGTGCATTTCTAATTATTCCAAAATAAGATCTTAAAATCAATTCATAACCAATTCTTTTGAAGCAGCAGTTTATTATTTATAACTTTTTCAAGGTAAAACTTTTTAGAAAACGGTGCTAAAAAACAAAATAAATATTAAGAAATACAGAACGAATTATAAAATGAAGAAACTCACTTAAATCTAAACTAACTTAATCAAAATTTAAAATAAAAAAAGTAGTTAGTAGATCTGAGATAAGCATCTCCAAAAGTTATTCCCTGTCCAAGTAAATATCTAACCTAGCTGCAAGCTGTAAGAGAATTAACAAATTACTTACTAATTAAAGAATGATTTTTTGATGATAAGTATGTATGTACCTATACTAACAGAGATGACTTAGAGCTTTATAGTTAGTTACTGCAAATATTATATCAATAGTTGTACTGATTGCTAGTGTATATATAAAGTTGTTAATATCTAATATAATTATACAAGTGATTCAAAGAACAGGAACCGATTTAAATAAATTTATAGAGATACAGGGTGATTCACAAATGGTGACCAAAAATGAAACCTCGTATTCTTTGGTGAATTAAGGTTAAGGGGAGTCTTTCCTATAAAGTTTTTATCTAGGACGCTTCGTTAAAAAGATACAGGGTGTTAAACTTCAAAAAATATTTTTAATTTTTTTAAATAATTTAAATAATTTAAATTTTTGGTCACCATTTGTGAATCACCCCGCAATAAAAATTAATCTGTGCTCAAAGAAAGGGTGATCAGACGTTTTTTAATGAAACACCATGTATATTTTTACATGATGGATAGAATTTTCTATCAGGGTTGGTAATGCACTGTCGTTTGATGTTTTTATTCAAAGTAAGAAAAACGTAGTGAAAGAAAAGTGGATCGTAAGTCATAAGAGTAGTATATTGGAAATATTTTTGAGGCTACAATATTTTTTTTGTATGGCATTTTGACATTATTTCTTTCCATTTAGTAGAGGCAAGCAGTAAAGTAACCATTCTATATCTAAGGAAAGTTCTATCCCAATACAGGGTGTCCGGTAAGTACCTCCTAATCTATCGGGAGTGTATAGGGGAGGTCAAAATAAAACTAGTCCTTCCTATAATTTTTTTTCCTAATGTGCCCCCTAACGGAGTTATGGGGGGTCAAAGGGGTACCTAGAAATTAACGTTTAGGGTTATAATTTTGAAACCACCCTGTATATTTTAATAAAATTTTTGTACGTTGTATTACACATGGAGCTCTACGATTTGATGCTAAAATCAACTTTTTGCTATTATCAGGTGTCCAGAAACGGACTGGCCCTATCACAATTTTTCTCAAAATTTTGACAGAAGTAATTTTATCAAACTGAAAATATTATTATTAGATACTCTGAAGGTTTTTCTTTAAAAATGGTACTCTTTATTTATTTCGAAAAAATGAACGGTTTGCGAGATAAATCGGTTTTGAAAAAAATTGGTAACAAATACAACAACAATTAAAATTTATTTTTTTACAATAAAATCATTCCCGCTAGTGCTAGCCTACAGATTCACCATAAACATTTACTGACCACTCCCGAGAGATTAGGAGGTACTTACCGGACACCCTGTATACGTATAGGGTGTTTTCAAAAGAAGTAGCACCAATGGTACCGACGAATTTACAGTTTAAAAAGAAAACGTTTTGAATAAAAATGTATGCACCTTAGCCTCTCACAATTTCCAAAAAAAAATAAAAATATGGAATATTGGCTGTAATTTGAAAATCAAAAAAGCTATGATAGTAAAATTATACACAAATTTTCTAACAATGCTTGTGCAACTTCTCAACAATTTTTCGAAAATTTCTGCCTCTTGGAGGGAGTTAAAATAATCATAGATAGGTACCCTAAGTTATTTTTTGCTACAGCTTTTTTGTTTGACAAAAATTGAATAGTCAATAATACGTATCAGATAAAGCAAAATGTTTTAAAATAAACCAGGCTGTCAAACACGTATTTTTGAATATTCAATTTTTGTCAAACAAAAAAAAAATTTAGCAAAAAATAATTTAGGGAATGCTTATTTCAACCCTTTCCAAGGAACAGGGATTTTTGAAAAATTGTTGAAAAATTGCATATTTGTGTAAAATTTACAGTCGCTGTTCCATATTTCTTTAGATACTTTGAGAAGCCGTATCTCCTAGGAGTGAATATTTTACTAAGGTAATTTTTATGCAAAGCGTGTCTTTTTAGCTGTAGATTCACCGATATTATTTGTGCTACTTCTTTTGCGAACACCCTGTATAATAATATACCAACAGTATGTTACTTATTGAAATATATTTCATCACTTTTTTATAATACCCGTCATATATATAAAATATTTACTAACATTCTTCTTTTACTAGCAGTCAACCTATGTTTTAAAAATTTGACTGAAAACAATTTTATATTAGGTTATTCATAGAATCAGTTTTTCTTTGGAAACTCCTTGAAATCGTCTTATTTCTAAGCTCTGCAATATAATAATAATTTTGTTGCAATCCATAATAAAATGATGAGACTCCCATAAAGGATATATACAGGATATACAGTATACAAAATTGTGTTGCAAGTAGATTTTATTATAGCTGTTTTACATTGACAATTTATTGATCAATTAATTCATGAAGTCGCTTCATCAAGAAATTGGACAAGTGTAATGTACCAAATCAGCTGTCAAATAACTTTATCAATTTATTCATCAAGTTGTTGACGAATTAGAGCATGTTCTAATTTTCGTCAATTTCTTCGTGAAGTTCGGAAGTACCAACCCAACAGATTTCCAGCCTCAGATCAGTAATGAGGTTATGTTATTGGTTAATAATTGTGTGGCGTCGTGCTAGTTTTGCATTGTTTTTACTGATTTGTTATTTACAACAACTAATATTTATATAATATGTGTCAGAACGGTACCGCCGTTGTATCACTACAATTAAGAGTGGAAAGGTGACTAGTTTGAAATTTATTTGCTTCTTTGATTCATTGGTAGAACTGATTCATACGTCAAAAAACTTGACAAAGTCTGTAGCAGTGTAAAACCACACCGTTTACCAATAAATTCGTGAATTAATTAATGAAGAACTTCGTCAATTTATTGATGAATAAATTCTCAATGTAAAACAGCTATTATTAACTTTGGGTGTTTAGAAAAAGCTGCAAATTCACAAATTAGCAGATTGCAGGAATAATGTAGAATGCTTAGATTTGTATTGCATTTTTGTGTTAGTTATTTTATTTGTAATATATTTAAACTGGATATTATAAGACGAATGCAAGCAGGTGAGTTAATTTAATATGAACATACTAGAAATAATTGGTTTTTCAAATAATCCTTAACCGATTGTCTATACACATGGTACAAAGTTTCTTAAATCTAGATCAAATTCTCAATTTTTAGTAACTAAACCACAACGCGATACAGATAAAGAGGAATATATTTTTATTTCTTAAAAAAATCGTTTAAGCTTTTTGGTAATTGCACGGATGGCGTTGATGGAATAAAAAAAAATACTTAATGATTTTCTATTCAGATTTAAATATATTCGGGCAGCTCTATCAAGTAATTTTCATAAACCAAATAATCTTTTTCCATTACTGAATTACCTGAGTGAAGAGTTTTATATGATTCACCCTATATTTCATGTATCGGAACTAATCAAATAATTCACTTCTAACCTAGGATACGTTCCAATCATATAACTGTTTCTCCTGCATGTATCGTCGAGATTATCGAACTTATTACTATATTTATCAATTAAATCTATATCATAAGAACTTGAAAAGGAGGAGGTAGAGGCTTACGTTTTAAATATTTCTTACTGCTTGTCTTTACATTATACATATTACAATTATTGCAAACCGGGAACATTTAGAAGAATACGGTTGGACGTATTTCTTCATTCACTGAAATACAAGATCTGATTTTTTTATCCAAGTTATCTGCTGTCAATGATATCTTAAATTTAATTATTTGTGATATAATATTCTCCTTAGAGCGTCTTACACATTAAGATATAGATACGTTGACAATATCCTGAAAATATAACTTCAAAATAAATAGTTTAATTTTGTAGGGTAGTAGGTATTTATCGAAATACTTGCTTTGAATTATCTTAAAACCCAATTGTTTAAACATTAAATTTACTTTATGAACATGAATATTCTGTTTTAATAAGCAGAACTTCAGTATCGCAGAGAGAAGGTCATTTTATGCAAAGTATTCTCAACGAACATACTTGCCACACCTCTTTGTTTTCGAGGTACAGGTTGTTGAATTTTCTAAAAAAAAAAAATAGTTTTTCCGATCATTTTGAGAATGGAAAGAACGAATATTTTTTTGCATAGAGAATTGCTTTCTACAAACGAGCCAATTTTCATGTTAATAGATTTACCAGTAGGTACTTACCTACTCGGTGCATTTTACTATTTTATTAAAAAAAATAATGACATGTTAACGACAATATTCCACCATTTTTAAAATTCTAAGATATTTCAAGAAGAAAATTTCTTTAATTCTTTCTCTAAATTGTACCGTTTTCCAATAAAGTTCAACAGCTTTTTTGTATGTGCTACAATAGTGGCATTAAGATTAGGATAGGCTGCGGGTCCTTCTTTTGGAGGAAATTAAAATGGGTGAAAGAGAAACTCGATACGACTCTAGAGTAA